GGTTTTCTGACAGATGAAGCAAAGCTCTGTACTCTTCATGTTATTCCCTTCACTGCTATCCTGCTATTTTGTTCTCATACAAATATCCTCTTTTCTTCTTTCTGAGTTTTTCAGAGGAAAGAAGTAAGTAATGACCAATGTGTCTCCCTTAGCCCTAACCTGACTGCAGTGGTCAAACCTTTCTCAATTTTCTCTTTCAATCTGAAAGTTTCAGAATTTTTCTTTCTCAGAAAACGTCCTACTATCACTACATTTCAGAAGATCACTACAAAAGTCCAGTCATGCCGTCTTTAGTGTCCAGTGCCTTGGTCTCCAGGTTGTGGATTTCTGTTGCAACTTCAAATGATTTTATATTCCCATAGTCAATGTCTTCCCCATGGGTATGTGAACCTGGAGAAGAAGGAAAGATGTCACCAAGCCACAGATGATATCAGCAGTGTTTCATACAACAAATTCCCTTTCCCATTCAACAGAGCACCACCAGTGTTGGGTTTAGAAAGCTGAATACATTCATTACTGTCTGACTCTCTAAGTGTTACAGTAAAAGTGTTAGAAGTCAAGTGTCACTGGACATTCTGTTGGCTTTCATGCCTGATAGTTTTACTATTTCCATTTGTGAATGAAATTGTATAAAAGTTTGGTACAGGTTAAATATCTGAGGCAACCTCCAAAAGTGGCAGTGATTTCCATAAGCCTGGTATCATACTACTTTTGGGGATGTGTCAATTTTCAGTTCAGATGATACATAAATATTCAAGCATTAAGAAACATGTTTTGGGAGAAGGATCCCGAGGTATTTAAATTATGTGGGAAGAAGATTTTCTCCTTAGCTAATGCTGTTTGACATTTTCTGTTGTCAGGAGTGTGACTCAAATTGTGATTATCAAACCAAAATCAAGTTGTAGAAAGTTCTGTAGATTTAACAAAAACAAACGATAGAATTCTTGGTATCTGAAACAAATGAAAAGTGCCTGTAGGTGCTCCAGAGGGTACTTCGGGAACTTTGCAAACCTGCTATGTAATGATCAATTTGTCTTTAATCAGAATCTTTTCCCTGCCTCTCCCCTTCTCCTAGAACAAACTACCAAATAAATTTTGCTTGTCTTCATATTTCAGCACAAGACTAGAAATATTTCTGGAAGATAAAATGTAACCATTGCAGGTTAACTGTCTTAATAAGGGAGACTTGGGGAAGTTCAGTGATTGGGGGTTAGAGGAAGTGCAGCTGTGGTCCTTTCTAGCTTTCTGATATGGAAACCGTAATCCCTATTGATAAGCACTTAAATGAGAAAGATCAGTTTCATATCTTATGATAACTGTGTTCCTTGAAGACGTATTGTACCCATGGATTTCATGGTCCATTTTCCTTTATCATTTTGAGACACTTTGTATTGTCAAAGTTAACTAAGGGGTGGGCGAGTTTATTCTATCCTTTGTGTTTTCAAATGGAGACGGATAAAGGCACAGATACGATGACCATAAAATACATAGTCATGGAACAGAGGAAAAAGTGTAAATGGGAACCATGTGAGAGATGCAATCTGAAGTGCTGTTTCTCATAAACTACATGGTTTTTCACTCTTTTCTGTGACCTTTGAGGATAAGGCTAGCTAGGTTTTTTTCTGAGAACGTGTTTTTTGGATCTTCGATTATCTGTTACAAAATGTATCAGAAAATGCCACAGAGATTTCACAAGGCTCAGCAAATAAGTGTCTTGTCAGAATGGGTGGATCTTCTATCATAAAGAGATATTATTGTGTGAGACAGACTGCAGTGTTCTGTGTTCTGCACTGGATATTTCTTGAGGACAAACAAAGCAATCTTAGGCTAATTGTTGACATGCTGTATGTTAAACCAATGAGTGTTTATTCTGCACGGTGGGAGTTTACGTGTATTTTGGAAATTTAGATCTTAGTGTTAATGCTTTTTGCAACAAGTAATTTTTTTTCTGTCTTTCTCATGCATCTTAAAGATTTTTCAGGAAAAGGGAACATCTGCTGGTTTTCTCTTGTAAAATTTCTCTGCATTTCAATAGAGAAATGGGCTTTTATAATTCTCAAGATAGTCATAGTAAGAACTTTGAAAACCTGCTAACTAGGCCAGAAATCTACAGTGCTTGGGAGCTCTTGGCGCTAGGGGCAGCAATGACCTTGCTTATCTATTTGAAGTTTAATGCTCGATTATGTAAACTGTCTTTAGAGCTTAGGCAATTTAGCACTGCAGCATTCACAAATGTTATGCACAGTAAATGATTAAGCAAGCATTGAAACACTAATCTGGCTAAGCACTAAGCTGGTTTACTTCTGTGAGCTTTAAAAAAAAGCCCACATTTAAGAATTTGTCAGACTTAACAGCTGCTTTTGATTCCCACTGCCCAGAGGAGATGCAAGCTTCGCAGTTCCCTAGGTATCCGATTGCCTTATGCAGGTTTTTCAGAGCTCTTAAAACCCAGAGGTGCCTACAATTTTCCCATTTCACTCTTTGCACGGGAGAATTTCAGTATAATGAATCTATAAAAGTCGAATCTGGTAGTCCAGTTTAGCAAGTACAGAAGCTTCTCTGAGCTGAGGTTGGTTCTTAGCTGTGCCGAGTTTCTTGATGTTTTATACTGTAAAAACAAAAGTTGAGCACTTCATTGCTTCCTCTGACATGGGCATGAAAATTAAGCAATGAAAGTGTGTTGAACCTTAAATGACTTCTTTAGCTGTGATACAGTTCACAGAGAAACTTTCCTATAGTATCTCAATTTGAAAAAAACCTTTTCTTCAGAACTGGCTTCTCTCTGAGTGTTGACAAACCTAGGAATTGGTGTACGTATATGCAAGTTGTAAAGTATTAAGGGTAAGTTTTTTGGAGATTATAACCTTTTTCATTATTTTTAGCACCTGTAATTAAAAAAAATACTAATTGTAAGGGCTTTATAGGTGGGAAGTATTAGTGTCTAATTTTGAACTCTAGCACCATTATTAAAGACCGAATCCAGTGATTTATGTAGTTGTCCTAATGTAAAAGTAACCTAAGAGATTACAGAAACCAATTCCTTCCAGATTTATGCTGCTGTTTTCGTAGCTCAAAAAGTGAAGAAGTCTGAAAATCGGCTTTCTCACAGCAGATGAGAAATAAACAGTAGTACTGATATTACAACAGGTTTTTCCCAACTTTTCAAGAGCCTTTAGAATTACCAAATACAGCCACATCCGATAGCATAAATTGGTAATTGCTTCACCTCCACTGTTGCATTCTAGATTCAGTTTTCATAACTGTTCAGATAAAATTCTCCAATTCATTTGTCTTCATAAATCTGATTATTTTATTGTATTGTATTCCATCTCTCTTAAATGGTAACATTCAGGAAAAATACACAGATTCACCTATATTAAAGGCAGTTCACACAGTTACATTATCCTAAGATTCCACAGTCTCCATTTAATGGAGCCCAGTTTATGAAGATTGCCAACAGGTTGCTTTCTGGATCTTCCACTGTTCCTGTGATAATATGTCCAAATTCAATTAGATTATAAACTTTTGAAAGAATTTTTGTATAAACTCATTAAAAACTTAGCAGATATTGACTGGTAAGTCCATGAAGTTTCCGTATGAGCTGGACATAGGCCATCATGTATTTTAGGGGATGGGGTTTACTTTCCAAGCTATTGTTCCTGTCAGAAAACAACCAGAACAGAGAACATAAAATGCAGTTTTTCTGGTGTCACAAGGTCTCCCCCGGTTCATATCAAAAATATCAAATGGGAGGTTTTTGATGAAGAAAATGGCAGTGTTGAACAACTCCTATAGTTGCAGTAGAAGATAAATGAAATAAGCCAAAGGGGCTTAGCAGTTTATTAACTCAAAGTTGGATGATGGCAGGAGATAATCCGGGCAGGAGCACAGAGAGCCAAAGATGAAGGAAAGAGTAGCTGGAGGGGAAGAGTGGGGATAAATATTGAAACCAGTGGCAAGACATGGGTTGAAAGTGTAGAGGCTGATAGGCACGTAAATGGTCTCTATAAATCTGAAAATGAATTAAAGAATCTTAGAAACTCATTAGCACACTATAAGTAATTCTGCTGGAATAGTGACTTCTGCATATTTGAAAATAAATCACTGCTGTGACAGCCTGCTACTCTCTACTTCTATGGGGTAACTGGCATACAAACAGCTTCTCACAATTAAATTTAAAAGGCAGTAAAACAGTTTTAAGTGGGACAATAAAATATTTCAGTCTTAGATTTGATCAACTTATTTTATAGGCAGATTTTTGAAAACCTATCCGTGTCTTCTCATGGTATCGCTGTGAGTCATATGTAATTTAATGCCACAGATACTTTGTGCCTTAAGATGTTTAGATTTAAGTCCAAATGTCCTGTTTCTTTTGTGATATCACTTTTGGGACACTTAAAATTTTTGTGTGAGTTTATTATGCTGAGAAATTATCAGTTTCAAATATGTCAATTACATTATTTTTTGACTGGCAAAATACCTTACCACTTAATGCTAGACTCGAGTTACGAAATCCCAGTTGGCCTGATTTGCACCCCTGAAATCACATGAACATTTTTTTATGCTTAAGTATAGATACTCAGACAACACAGAGGAAAAAGAGTTCACACAAGAGAAAAGTAGACATTTTTATGATGGATATGTTTTAAAGCATATGAAGTTATGTTCTGGGGTCAAAATTAGTACAAAATGCAGGAGAGACGCATACATTTTAATGTATGTCTGTGCATGCTCCTCATATTTCTACATAATTTTGTTCCCTCTTACAGAGTTATGTGGCTTTTCTTCTTTTACCTTCATGCAACCCTTTATCTCACTTTATTGTATTATTTATTGTCATTGTTTTTGTATTTAAGTATCTAATGATTTCTATTTTTCACTGCTGCTGATCTATTGCAAGCCTCCCCTTTTTCCCCTTTTCCTACTCACCTGTATTTTTTCCTCCTATTTTCTGCAGCAGTCTGATAGGTCTGTGGATTCCTTTTCTTTTCTGCCTTCTCTTTCTCATCACAATTTCTCATCTTCCTGTTTTGTCGTCAAGCACTGTTTTGGCTTAGAAATCAGTGTAAAAGAATCCATGATCTAGATATGAAATGAAAGCCCAGTAGGGAACTAAAGGTGGCAATAGCAGGGCCTGCTACAAAAAGTAGGGATTGCAAGGGATTTGGTAGAAGACAGCTGTGATAGGAAAAGGAATCACAAAGCAAACTTCAGGTGTGGGTTTTCCTCAGAAATTACTTAGGGTGGTGAATTTGCATTCCATGTTTTTTGTCCCTCGTAATCGGTGAGTAAGTTGTTGCATATGCCCCCATAATGCATTTTATTACACAAAGAAGAAGAGCAAAGTCTTGAAAAACAAAGATCACTTTAAATTAATAATATTCCATTGCTGGCACAAGACAAAGCATTTTTTACTCATATATGATACACAGTGTATGTGAAACTTGAGTCACTGAAATAACTGTTTCATAACTATTAAGAAAGGAGATAAAGGCACTTTTCACCTCTTCCCTTACACCATAGCAGCTGACCAGTGCCATGATGGTGAACTCACCTCTTTCCTTACGCCATAGCAGCTGACCAGTGCCATGATGGTGAAGTCTTTTCTGATTGAACTGCACTTCAGTTCTAGTTGTTAAAATTTCTTCATCCAAGAGAAAAGAAAATTAATATGCATGCGTTACAAGGGATTTCTTGTACAATTTTCTTTAGTTTATGAATGTAAATTTTCATCTCCATTGAAGCTAAGATAAATAGTATGGCAACCCAGAGATGTACATAGAAACAAAAGTAAGCATTTACTCATACATCTATACTCAGATTATGGTGTTGACTTGAAATTCTTGGGTGGCCAAAGAGAGGATGGCTGCTAGACCATGGCAGGATGGCTCCTTTGTAAATCCTCTTCATGTGCATTAAAGCTTTTACATGCCCATTTATTCTGCTTTTAATCTTAACTGTGGTCAGAATAAGATCAAATAGACAAAGGAAAAAACCACATTTGTTTTATTTAGAAAGACTGGAGTGGTACCTTTGACATTTTTAATTTGATGCCAAAAGTAGCAGCAAGGGTCATAATTTATAGGAACAAATATTTTTCCAGAACAAAATAAAATAAATAGCTTTATGGATGGCTTCAGGGTTTCACTCAGAGTAGCAGTTTCTCTTTCTCCTGTTCTTTCCTGCTTCTTCTGTCAGCCTGGTTTGTATTTTTCATTAGAAACTGCCCTTTAAGATCAGTGAGGAATTTCCTGCAGTTTTGCAGATGTACCTAATGTTCCTGCTTTTCTTTTAATTTTTGTACTGTGGCACAGTCGTATGACATAGAAGTTGAAGAAAACTTTCAATGGCAAATTCTTATAATCTACCTAAAATAAAATGTGGATAGTTTAATATATCTAAGTCTCCGTATATAAAGATAGCACAATGGATTGTGCCCAGATGTACTCAAAGTCCCATGGTAAACATAATAGCACAAAAAAGCAGCTGAATGACTTAAATTCAGTGGCTATGGTATATAAAATTGAATTTGCTAAGTCGTCATTCCGTATACTCAGTATCAGTCATCAGTTGTCAGTGAACTATGAAATATTCCAACTGGAATGTGAGATTGGCCAACTCTTAGCACATTCCAGGTAAAAAGATGCAGGTATTTTCATCTAAGAAAGCAAGGTAAAGTTGTTGAGGATATGGTGGTTAAAAATGGCAGACTCAACTGCTCTGATCTGACTTTTCAGCTCTATCAGTTGTTAGAGTTGTTCAGCAACAAAATATTGTAATCTATAAATTGACCATTGTGGTCAGATATTATCCTGTGACATTTATGGAGACAGATGTATATATTAAAAGGAAAAAAAAAAATGGATTTCACTTTATGCTTACCACATAAAATAGTTCAAGATTAAAGAGTATGCAGTAGGATAAGAAACACTCCAAACGTTTTTGTCTCTGTTGTCCTTCCCTGCTTTTAAAAATCATGTTGACTCACAATTTTGTGGTATTGGAACAATGCGGTATTGTCATCACTTTATTATTTTTAATTGCATGGCTGGTTATGCAAGAAGTAAGCAATAAGCCCTCTTACTGCTCTGTTTATTTTAATGCAAAACTTTGGGGTTTTTTCCCATCTCTGTTGTCAGTATGTTTTGCTGAACTAAAATACTATTAACTGCCATAAAGGGTGTTAAACACAGCGCACGTGGAGATGTATACCTTATGTTTTATGGTTTTTATAGTCTTTTATGTTTTTCTAATAACTTTTTATTCCTCTAAAACAGTAAATTGATGTTAGCCTTCTGTAAAGAGTAGCTTAAGTTATAATTATACTACATACTACTTTAAAGCTTAACATATCATATCTGGAGGTGATTTTTAACTGAAATTCTTTCATTTCCTTAACACTGGGCCAACTACTTCTAAGCAGGCAGAGCTCATATCCCATCCATCTTTATCGTAACTGGTAATAAAAAACCCTCTAGGCTTGACATATTGCTATGACAATTATTCCACAGATATTATACAGCGGTTGTGTCTGTCAACCATACAGTATGGAATATTTAACTGGCAGACTTCCAAGAGTGGGCATTAATCTTAGCATCTCTTCTTACAGTCCCTAATCAAGATATTCCAGGGGTGATTGCACTAACATTGTTTGAAGACTACATCTACTGGACAGACGGGAAAACCAAATCTCTCAGCCGTGCCCACAAAACCTCTGGATCAGACAGACTGTCGCTGATTAACTCATGGCATACCATAACAGACATCCAGGTCTATCATTCCTATAGGCAACCTGATGGTAATTATTCCGTCTATGCTTTCTGAGATCAGTACATTGATGTATTTCACTTAGTAGCCAGGAATAATGGAAGCTTATTTATGTACAGTGATTTATTTTTGTTTCTGATTTGTTTCAAATGGTGGAACTTTTCAAATTACTATTTTTAAAAGTAAATCTGTGATTAACGCTGTAAGTATATCTAGTATGAAATAAATGTGATATATTTTGTTTAGTGGCAAGATACATATTTGAGTGCTTAAGAATTAACCCAGCTACTGACTGGAAGTACAGAACTGTTGTTACAGTAGGAGTTATCAAGCTGGGAACGATGTGCTATGAAAATATTTAACGTTATTATTTGAAAAGTAGGAATACTGTTCTTAAGAAACTTTTTGGACTGAGGGAATGTCAGAGAAACATATTTGGGTGCTTAAAAATTAACCCAGCTACTGACTGGAAGCACAGAACTGTTAAGTTGTTACAGTCGGAGTTATCAAGCTGGGAACGATGTGCTATGAAAATATTTAACGTTATTATTTGAAAAGTAGGAATACTGTTCTTAAGAAACTTTTTGGACTGAGGGAATGTCAGAGAATGTAGGCATTGCGACTGTGTCTGATCTCCTGATGTCCCTATATTTGAATTATAATTGAATACAATTTGGCACTTGACCTAGATAAGATAATTTTTTGTCTCATTAAGAAAAAAACCCTACTGCTTTTTTCTTCCTCTCATTCTTTTAGTGTTGGATCTACACACATAGTAAGAATTGGCTTTAGCATAGAACAGAAAATTAGCTTAAAGGGAAAAGGTTGTCTCTTATGGGTTTTTTATTTGAGACGTTCCCTTGCAAAAATAGTATGCGAGATACATTTTTCTTCCTCTATAAAGCAGACACCCTGAAGTATTCTGAAATAATAGGCTCTGATACTCTTTTGCTATTCTGTCAACAGTGTCTAAACACCTGTGTACGCTAAACAATGGTGGTTGCAGCCATTTATGCCTTCTAGCCCCCAGCAAGATGTATACTTGTGCCTGTCCCACTAATTTCTACCTTGCTGCGGATAACAAGACCTGCTTATCCAACTGCACAGCCAGTCAGGTAAGCCCATCTGGCTGGGGGAATGGGGAGTGGGAATTATATTTTACTGTGTTTCCACTTGCTTTTAAGTAATGAGTTCTGGTGCCCATGAAATGTGGAAGCATCGGTCAAAGGAGCTGGAGACTAAGTAACTCATGGGTGCATTTAAAGCATGTCGTCTTCAAGGCTATTAGTTGAAAATGGACTTGCAAATGCCTTTTTTCCAGAGAATGCAGAACTTGTTCCCTTCCAAATGTGGATGTTTCTGCCAGTCAATAGAACTAATACAGCTACTAAACCCATAAAAATTGCTTAGAAAAAACATTTGTATAAAATATGAAACATAAAATTACAAAGTGTATATAACAGTGATGCAAACTGTGTATAATGATGATTTGGCAGTATTCATGCGTGAACGAACTTTACATTTATACAAGAAAACAAGCTCCGTCCAGTTAGCTAGGTAGGTAAATGATAGGGTTACACTGAAAACAATCCAGTAGCTGAAATGGAAATGGTAGAATATGCAATTCATTAACAATTGCATCAATCGAAACATTGACTTCTTTATAGGAGGTGGATTCCCTAGTATTTGAAATAAGTATGTGGTGATTTTTTTTCTTATAAGATGGATTAAGTAGAACACACTGAATCCTTAAAGGAAGACCGCTTTGATAAAAGTCTTTGGACTGTTCTACCCAGACAATGAACTGATTGGTTGTAATAGTACATATGGTCTTTAAAAACTTCCTAGGAGTCCAGCTTTTCTAGTAGTCAACTTTTATTATATGTATGCTTATGACATCTTACAATGTTCTACATCATTTTGCATTTTGTCTGTACTTATTAGGGGAATGGTTTTACTCTTAATTTTTAGGGAACTGGATAAATCTTAATAAATGATGTATACTTTCATTCAATTAATACTGTTTTTTAAGAAACACAAGAACCCTTCCTACCGTCTTCCTCTGTTCCTTTAAGGTAGTGTTTGGTGTGATTTTATGTTCATCGGATCTTTTCTCTTTAGATTGTCTGCTTGTTACTTCCCTTTAAGTGAACAGGAAGGAAGTGTAAAACACTTGTAAAATGAGGAATTTCTTGCCTATTTTTCCTTCAAGGTTCTCAAACTTGTTTGGTGAAAGAAACGGTGCTTTTTTTCTTCTTTAAAATTTCTTTAAATGGCACTGGAAATTTATTCCATAGGAAATTGGTGTGCTGATGGTTGATTGAATGGCTCTGTTCCTTTCTAAATAATTCATTGGCAGTCTGAATTGAAGGGTAGCATCACATCTTGGATCCTCCAGAAGCAATATTTTATCACTTGTGAATTCCGTAGGAGGGAGAGCAGGGTTAAATAGAAGAAGCTGCTTCAGACAGACAGTTACAAGTTGACATTGGTTATTAGTACTTTTCTTCCAATTTTGAAATCTGTTTACTGTTCGATAACTCATCAATTTTATGGCGTCAGATGCAGAGATCAGTGGCAAAAACATGCTCTGCTACTTAAGATTTTCAGATGGTGCTGTAAAATCAGAATGGTTCCTGTGCCATAATCGCCTTTGACAACACACCCACTGTTAGCTATTTCTGATGAAAAGGAGTTGGATGGCTGATACAAGGGTCTTTCACATCTACAGATTTTCAGCTGCTTTTTGATGGCTAATCTGACGTGAGAAATTTTTTTGGTAGCAAGTAGAAAATAGTGAGAATTGTCTGAGTTTCTCTTTGTCTCCTACATTTGGAGGCCTTCTGCTGAGTTACTCAGAGATCTGTACCTTTGTGGAACAGGAACAGTTTAGTACAGCTGCCTTTCAAACCCAACCTGTTACTCAGTGCATCCCTCAATGTGGTACAAGAATGATGGAGATCCAACCATCAGTCCTACTACATAAACGACCATGAATCCCTGAATTATCTTGGCAGAAAAGATAAAATTGAGATAATGCACAAAATTGAATATACCTTTTAAATACAGCTTTGATGAATAATCAATGATTTTTAGAAATGTGAAGAAATGAAAAAAAAATGCCTAATCACAGAAAATAAAATGTCTTGCACTGCTAAACCTATTGATTTTTTTCCTTCCTGTTCTCTTACAAACACCAGGTAGGAAACACAACATTTCTTAAAAATTTCTTACAATCTAATCAGATTTTTCTTTCTAGCATTAGCTACTTAATGAATTCTGATTTTAGGTTTAGCTCTATAAGAAAAACTTTGGTTTGTTTCCATTCTTCTTTCACTCAGAAGAAAGGTACAATGTTGCCTGAGCTCAGAGCAGAGGCACTGCCAAAGTCTTACAAAGAATTTTTCTTTTTTGTACAACTATTTTATTCTTTTGAAAGGTTAGAAGGCCTAGTTTCTTGTTTCCTCATTTAAATCAAACAATATAAGCAATACTGTATACAAGTACAACACTGCACGTTAAGACCCTTTTCTGTAACTGGGGGTGTTTTGGTTTATGTGGAAAAACGATATTAAGTTTGCTTCAACAACCTACAAAGACTAAAAACTCAAGTGGTTATTTTGAATAAGATTTCAAAGGATCAAATCATAAATTGCAGCAAAATGCAGTGCATGGTTCGTATCAGGGGTACTGTAAGTCAGGGTAGCAATGGCGTTGAAACTGCGGTGATTTGTATCAGGGGAAATCTCAGTGCAAAACAACTCCAGAGAAAGAATATTTAAAAATTGAGTTTTATAAAATTAACAACCAGAGTTGATAAATGGAACAAGGACTTCAGCAGCAGATGCAGTTTTTCATGAACTGTACTATTTCTGTTTAAAAATAAATAAATAAGTATTCATACCAAAGCCTTTCTTCCTTCTTGCCTTCCTTTTACAGTTCCGTTGCAAAACTGACAAATGTATTCCATTTTGGTGGAAATGCGACACTGTGGATGACTGTGGAGATGGCTCTGACGAGCCTGAGGAAT